TTGTTTTCGAAATCACTTTATACCTATAAGGTAAGGAACTCAAATTTGAAATTTCCCCAAAAATTAATAGAGTTTGAGCCCTTCTCAAATTCTCAAATTTTGTTACTCATACGCGATTAAGTAATGAAATAAGTAACAAATCAATGGGGAAACATCAAGTAGAAAGTGAGAATCCTACCTTAGCGAAGAAATATCAAAATAGTTTCTAAAATCTCCCAAAATTGAGCTCTCTACCTCCGAAAATTGAAATAAGAAGTCTAAGATCAAAATGAGATTTAATTTTGTCCAGGTACTAGTAACTCTTCACGAACATGAAGCTCTATCACAAATGCAGACCTAGTGACTTTACCTAGAATATTTTCAAAGATGAGGCCCATACCCAAAACATGAAGCATACAACCAAACCCTTCTCAGTGCATGCGATCCCACCAAATGACTTCAAAGTCCAAGGAATTTCTATCATGCCCTGAGACAAATTACTTACTAGAGCCCTCTGAAATCAAGGAGACAGATTAGTTGCATCAATTTCAGAGGGAACCTCATTACTTGTGGAATTCCTCTAAATGGCGGTACGCTTTGGAGGCATGATTTAAAATACGGGAACACACGAATTAGAAGAAAACTTTTAGAGTTAAATTCTATCGCACAAACTAGAATATGAAAGAATGTTGGTATTTCCTAATATCCTATAGCCTCCCTATTATAGATGTGGTGCGCATCACACCCATAAGAAGGAATCTACCAGACAAACTTCATAGACATCTTAGGACACTTAAACTATGTTCTCTGATATCAAATTTATCACGCACCGAGCTTATATCCTGACCGACACCCAGAATCATTTCTTGTTTCAAGCGAACCCTTGACGTAACTTACTGCTAAACTAGAAGACCGGATAACTTATGCGGAAGCTATATAAAAGATGAACATCATAATTATTTAACACAAACATAGATCATCTCAACAACTTTATCTAAAACTCTGAAAAGTCAAAATAATAATAATAATGACTAAATTTGAAAATATCTAAAAACCACGACTCGACTAACTCGTCTACCTTGTCTATGAAGCCTTTAATAACCCGAGGATAGGTGCCAGAACAACAACCATACTCTACTAGCTAAGTATCGAATAAATTAGTTAAATTAGAACCCTCCAAAAGCAAAGAGGTCTCACCAAATATTGATGAAATTTTTTTTAGTGAAACGCCTGTTGCCGATCCTAAATACCTAAATCTAAATTATTTAAAGATGCAACGCCAAATGACGCTAGTACATGAAATGTAAGGTATGCAAAATAGCTGAATGATACAACTATTAAACTGAACTGAAAGAGTAAGTTTGAAGGTAGACTGTAAAATAATCAACTGAAAAGTAAAGCATGCATGTTTATTTTATCAACCGAGCTTTACAACTAAATATGTATGCATTAGTAGCAAGTACTAAAATTAATGTAATTTACTTTTTTTGGGGAGTTTCTTTAACTGACAATTATCACGTGAGCTTGTGATGATACAATATCTTGCCCATGTTGCAAGAGTCATCCTGCACCTTCTTAGGGCAAAGGACGAATTTAACTAATGGATCTGATCTTTGTGCCCTTAATAGAGGCTTTATGAGGAGTTACCTGAATCAATGACACAATCCTATCATACGCTGGCAATACAATTACAGGGTTTGGATTATGTAACCCTTACCTAACTCATTGCTCAATACTACTCCCAAAATAATAATGCTCAACAACTATATGATGTCCCATTTAGGGAAAGTCTCACTTTAGGGAAAAACTGATAATCTATATCTTGAGTTAATACTAAAAAATGTTTCTTTATAATTTTACTGCACTTCCTTTAAAAGACTATGATTTTATGAAAAACCGATTGTACCTTCTCGAGACTAAGATATGCTTTCTTTAAAGCTAACTATGCTTTTGTTTTTGAAAATAATGCACTTGAAGCAATTCATGCTTTCTTGAAACTCTTAATGAAAATAATGCTTTCAGACTTGAAATCACTTTACTCATGAAAACCATTCATAAGAGATAGTATGTCAAGGTTTTCAGATAACTCTCAGCTAAAAATGATTTATGTGGTATTTAAACATGAACAACAATCAAAGATCATTAATAATATGAAGTAGTGAAATTTTTATAATCAAATCAAGAATCAATAATTGGAATATAGAGAGAATTTTGAATATATTGAACTTTGGGGGTAAATACCCTAGTTTTGATCTTACTAGTTGAAACCATAGATGTAGGTTGTAAGGAAAAACTTAATATCTTAGTGATAGCCTTACATGCCGTAGAGAACAAGAGTTCTTGAAGAAATCTTGATTCAGAAATTTGAAACCTTAAGTTTGTTCTTCTTGACTCTTGCTCTAAGCTTGGGAAGAAAGATACGAAAGTATTCTGAGGTAATACTATGATATAATCTCCAAATAGGTACTAAAATATGGAGGTTTAGGCATAGGGAGAATGAGAAAATACTGAAATAACTCCAATAAAAAGTTGTCGGAACTTTTCACGAGGCCTAACCACGGTCCATGGTTGGATCTATGGTCATGGATTATATCCGTGAAATTTGAGCCTTTGAAGTTCATTCTACGATCCCTAATCACGACCTGTGGTTTGATATATGAGCGGTAGTTTGAATCCATGAAAATTAGGCATGAAAACAAGTTTCAAAACTTCATTCTACGGGCCCAAATTATGTCCCGTAGATGGGTTCATGAAATCCAACCAAAAATTCAGTTTCAGAAGTTGATTTCATGAGCTTGAATTATGGGCTGTACTTTGTTTCACGGACCATAAAGTTGACTTGTAAAGGTCAGTTCTGGTATATTGGGAGTGTCTCTAGTAAAACAGTCGTACTATTTTACTCCAAGTTCATATTGATGTTAACTTAGTGATGTTGGAAAGAAGACTCACGTACCTTTAATTTGATAGGCCAGGAGTCAGCTAACTATTTATACTCATAAATATATGATTGTTTGAAGTTGACCCTTGCATTAACTAATGTGAAATACTTAGCCGGTGCAAAGGTTTTGAACTCAACTCAGGCATAACGAAGATGTATCGCGACTTGGAAAGCAATACTGGTAGAGTGGTATAAGGAGAGATATTGCGGACTATGTGTCCCGTTGCTTGTGTTTCCATAAGGTGACAGTCGAGTATTTGAGGCCTGTTGGTGAGTTATAGAGATTGCCCATTTCAGGTGAAAATGGGAGCTCATCACCATGGATTTTGTCTTGTGGTTGCCTCAAACATTTTTATAGTTGTGGATAGTATTTGGGTCATCGGGGATTGATTGACCAAGTTAACTCACTTTCTTCCTGTTTAGACTTCTTTTAGCCCCAAGAGGCTAGATCTTGTTTATATTCGGGAGGTAGTTTGTCTCCATGGGGTGCATGTGTCTATTATCTTAGATAGGGGTTCTCGATTCACTTCTAGCTTAGAGGACCTTTCAAAAAGAGTACTTGGGTACCCGAGTTAGCATAATCTTTCATCTGCACACCGACGTGTAGTTAGAACGTACTATTCAAGTTTTGGATGATTTTTGCGGGTCTGTGTATTGGATTTTAAAGGGCAGTGGGACCAGTTCTTAGCCTTAGTGGAGTTTGCATATAACGACAACTGCCACTCAAATATTTAAATGGTCTATTTGAGGTCTTATACGGTGCTCTCTGGTTGGTTGGTTTGAGGCTTCACAACCTAGGGCTTAGGCCGCGTGACACTGACTTGCTTCAGGAGGCTTTGGACATCATTCAATGGTGATATCATGAATTCTTGATGCATGAGCTGTTTTGGGTTGATTTAAAATTCAGATTGTGCCCATTTTGTGGGCACAAGTTCCTTGAACTGAATGGGGCAAATTGATAGAGCCAATTTTGGGATTCCTTGCTCGGGTCTTACAATGCTATTTTTGATTCGTTATTAGTTCTATCTTTAGTTATTGTGAATTAGGTGTCAAAACATATTTTTTTGATGTCGTGATTATTTATTTGATAGCGTGACAACGATTGATGGTGTTTCAAAAAGGTAGAGCTTTGGTTTAGTCGATTTTGGAGTGTGCGTGATCGCTTTCGAGTTAGGTTACGACTTACTAATCTTAGACTAGCGTGTGTTGGTATTTGCATACTTTCTAGCTAGTTTTGATAGGGTTCTTAGCATGATTCATATCGAGTTGATAGAAATCATGTCTTATCCTTATTTTCGGGTAATTTCTGGGAAATTAAGCATGTCTACCTTGGAACCAAACATACAGTCACAATATGGCACAGTACTACTATTTGGAGCAAACATACAGTCACAAAGAAACTATCTTGTCCTATTGTTTATATTTATGTCATTTCTCATTTCCACTGTTATTCTTCTATTATGTTATTTATCTTTCTGCTATTTTAAGGTTTCTGCCCAATATGCTCATTACTTGTCGTTCCGGGATAGAGGTTAGCTTACCTACCAATGAGTTTTGGTAGGTGCCATTACGACTCGAGTTTTTGGATCGTGACACTTGCAAAATGTAGACACTCAAATGGACTCTATTTTCGAAAATAACTTTTTGTGTTATAATGTTTCAAGGATCAGATTATATATTTATTTAATTAATTAAATGAGGTTTTTCAATTAGTTAATAACAAAGATATTAATGTAATTTAACTTTCATGTTAAGAAAATCATGCTTTTAATGAGTTAAATTAAGGAAAGGGAAAAAGGAGATCAAAGTATAAAGAACTTTGTATGCTAGTAGAAATTCAAAGATATCACTATTTATGGTAAAATAATTCATCATTGAATTCTATATTATAAATTGTAACCTATAAACAAACTAATATATACGTATGGGTATTATGTCTAGAGAGACTTTTACTTTTTTTTTTTCATTCCTTCTATTATATGTTGGTACAATTTACGAAATTTCATCGTTATGAATACTCTAAACCATTTTGACATTGGCAGAAGAATCAGAATTACTCTCAACAAAAATTAAAAATGAATAATTATATGTAAAATCTGTGTAAGTTATCATCATAATGGTTATTATTATTATAAGGAAGGCTCTTATGGCGTTCAAGTTTCTTGTCTTTCTTCTTGTTGGGGCTTTTTGATCCACAAATAAGTTTGAATTCAAAACCATATGCTTTGCCAAAACATGAAAATAATCCTCCTCCATCCGAATCATGTCTTCTTCTTCGCGATTTCTTTTTAATCTCAACGTGTTCTTGCACGTGAACTTGATCATCTGAGCCCCATGTCAAGCTTTTTGATCGCATCGATTGGATTTCTTCATCTTTTTCACCTTGTATAGTCCAATTTTCAAATATACAACTTCCATAATCTATTCCTTCCCCTGTTTGATATAATCCTTTCTTCATATCCTCTGCTACAATTGATGGTATAGGTTGCACCCCTGAGCAAAATGACACTACTGTTGGTGTACTTCTCATTTTTTGATTTGGAGATAATAAATCTGAATCGCTATTAGACATTAAACGTTTACTACATAAACGTAGTAACATTCCCCTATTTTGATTTTTTTTGATATCCTGATCATGAGTATTCTTGGTAATTTCTTCTTCATATAGCGTGTCATGACCTTTAGAAATAGTCGAGGTATTGTCATTCTTTTCATCATAACAATTTCTTCTTTCATCTTTTGATGATGAAACTTCGGTTGTACATATTGAGGTGCTCAATTCACTCCCAGAACAGAGGATTTCTGGAGGGCTAGTGTCAATTAATTGAACACTAATATGAAGGAGCCCTTGTAAATGACCACTTGGACGACGAATATGAAGCGTAGTTGATCTGATGGTTGGATTATTGGATGAAAGAGGAGGGAAAAAACTATTTATCATAAGGTGTGTTGTGCCAATAGGGAGATCGCGTAACCATGCAACATTGTAGATCTCAAACATTACTGAAGCTGATTCTGAATTAAGAAACTTGTCATCCACACGAAAAACCATCTTATAATTCCATGTAGGGTTTGTTTTACCTTGATGATCCACCCTAGTTGTTAATCTATGGTCATTATGTATATATGCAACTGCAAAGGTGCGTAACATTTTCGACACGGGAGGAAGGTCTTGGGCAGAAATCACAATGATCTCTAAGATCTTGAAAGGAGGTTGAATGAACATTTTGGCTAGAATTCAACAATCTCCTCGTCGTCACGATATGAATGAAGAAGGAGAATGAGAATGCATAATAATTTAGCGGTCTGATTTTACCTCAAAGCAAAGGGGAATTTACCTTATTTTGTTACTAGTTGAAATTGGGAAGGTAGAGAGACCAATGTTTGTAAGGTTGATGTTTTCATGTTTTTTTCTGCCACAAGTTTCTGATAGGTACTTAGTACATGTGTGGTTACATTCATTTTTTTGGGAATAAATATTTAGCTAAAAACTTAATATGCTTTGGTGTTATCAAATTAATGAATGCAAAAATTATAGTGAATTTAACCACTAAGATTAAGTTACTTAATTTGATACTTTGATATAAATCATTAATAAATATTTAGTCAATCTTAACTGTTTTATGAAGCATTTTGGACCACTATTACCAAATGGTGGGCACAGAAGAAGATTCTTGGAACTCAACGTTGTTTGGGAAAAAGGATGGCACAGATGGAGTGTTGGATCATTTTTAATAGTACTATAAATTATCTTATTAAAATATGATCTATTCAATTTGTTTAAACGAATTGGTGTAAAAATTTTATGGGGTATTTTAGTTTTGCTGCCCTATATATGTAATATTTTCTGTAAGATTTTTTTTTACGAATACCCGGTGATAGAAAATTTCACAGCAAAGCACATGCGTTTTTTTCTTGTCACAATTAAAAAATCGGATGTGATGACACCTATCTTATCCCACCTAGAGAGGTTAGCTTTTGTGGAAATAAGAAAAGAAAACAAAGAATTAAGAAACACTACTCAGAATTTATAAATATAAATATACCCTTCCCCAAAACCTGGTATCACGTGTACAAGTCACTAGATAATAATATAGATTCAATGAAAGTACAAGTCTGAATGTCTTCAGTTCTATAATAGAATAAAGACATAATGTAAGGTATGTGATATCTGCTAGAGCAACTAGCAACTACCTCGCGTACTCCTAAGTGCAAGCCTCAAACAGTGATGCAGGAAGGTGATCAGGATGAAATGGGCCGTAACCTACACAAGTGTAGAAAAGCGAGGGAGTGAGTACATAAACAACAAAGGCCCTCAACAAGTATCCCTAACCCTAAAAAAACTGATGATGAACACCCTAACCCTAACACATCATCCAAACCTCCAAAATACTACAACCTACATATAGAAATCATAATTCAATCCATCCTAGCAGATACAATAGTAATAAAGGTTGTAGCGCAATAGAAGTAATTGAGCAAATAAGTAACACCATATGATTTCCAACAATGACACTAACGGGGAAAGGGAAGCTCAGGTAGCACTTACAAGAGAAATCAATCAATGTTAACAATAAATCACTCACAGACAGTACAATCAATGATAATGAAGTGCAATTGCAATGCAAATGTCATAGAGAATATTGCATGTCTGTCCTACCGATACACACTCGCTGCTCAGAGGATAGTCGGGACCCATGCGGTACATATAAGTCCATACACCTACCCCGGCGCAGAGAACATCGCTCGAATTCATATCTGCATTCATCCTCGGTGCGGGGCATGTCCCTCGAAGTCACATCCTCTTGTCTTTCTTTTCAGATAACTTCTTCAATTTCTCATAGTGTCATTTCATATAAGAGTTTCATCACAATTACAAGTATGTAAGATCATATGCATAATGAGAGGATGACAATTTCACTCAATAAATCAACAACATCACTCATGGGCATCGCACGAATAAGGAAATCATAATATCCATCAAAGCCACTCACGGGCATAATATACAGTGATGACTCAAACAAGTGCAATTAACCCACATGGTTGACTCTAGTTTTCGGGTGGGTACTCGTCACATTATCCACACACACACACTCCCACTATTTCCCAATGCTCCCCATTACAGTAACACAACACATAGAGTCTAAAACACTTGTAAATAAGTCAAAGAGGTCAACTTGTCTTTAAAAAGTAGAAGAATGGGCCGAGTTTCAGCCTTTCCCTTGCACCGATCCATAGAATCCACACAATCTATGCAATTATGATTTAAGAATGAGAAAAGCTGAATAATAACACCCATATTGCTATTTCTTGAAAGCGGGTCCAAAACGACCCCAAAAAGTCAAACCCAAAGGCTAAGGAAATTTAATTTTTTATTGGAAAACATGTTACCCAAGAATTTTGAAACTCACATGTAAAATTATATTTAAAAAATGAGTTAGAAATCATCCCCACAAAGAAGAGAAGTAAAATGCATTACATATTCCCATAGCTAACAGGCATTAAACTAATCCCCTATCCATCTACATCGTCCACACGACCTACCACCTCTCTCCATCCTTTGAAACAGGGAGATTTCAAGAAAATACAGGGAATCAAGGTATCATACAACTAGGAAACTCGAGCAAAATCATCCCCCCCCCCCCCCACCCACCCATTTTGATGTGAAAATCATAAATTGGTGTTAAAAATTACTTACTCAAAGATTTGTCTTGAAAACTACCTTTGGAATCACCTAGGGTGTGTGTTTGGTATGAAGGAAATTTTTTTTCCAAATTTTTCATGTTTGGTTGGGTTAAATGTTTTCCAAATCATCCCTTCAAAACTTAAGGAAAACATTTTCCAAAACTATCTTCCAACTTTAAATTACAATTTATTTTGTCCCTACCCTCAAACTAACCCCCCAACCACCCCCTCCCCGCAAAAAATAAATAAATTTAAATCTTGTTTTTAAAAAATGTTTTTAACGTCAATATTTTAACCCCATCCTCACCCCTACACCCATACCCCTACTACC